CGGATTCTGGCCCCTTATGCCTCCCTTTGTGCTCACGGCACCAGAACAGATGTGCTTATAGCACCAGAACAGAATTCATCGGATCCGGAACAGAACAGATATCAGATTTCAGATTGAGCTCATTTCAGATTTCCCAGACACTAACTGAATCTCTTAGGATCCAGGCCCCTTATAACTCCCTTTATATAGCATATACAGATAGCATATTAATTCAGAAGAAATCCGGACGAATTCAGAAATCAGATAAAAATCGGGCAGCACAACGGCTGTATACATAATTTACACAATTTTCCTGAAAAATCACAGAATACCAAATTCGCACAGAATATAGATAACAACATTGCAAGACTTTAATTCTACTGCCACAACATTTAATCTCATCACAAAAAATACAGGCGAAATAAAACACCGCCGAATTCAAAATACCCGGACAAAAATCTCCAGAAAATACTTAAAATGTGCACACTCGGCACGTCAACAACATACGGAAACTTACGCGGTAAAAACTGAACCAGTCGGAAAATACGGACGAAATTAGTTAACAAAAACGAAATCCGGACAGAAAAGTCGTTCAAATTGCACCATTCTGAAAATTGAGAAAGGCGGAATGTGCCTTACCTTGCGTACAACACTTTACTTAACTGTCACGACGGACGAAAACGGCCCGTCGTCGCCCGAAAATCAACTTTCCCAATTTAGCTCTCGACCTTCTCTCTCCTCGGCTAATTTTAGATATTTTTTTTGATTTTCTCTCTCTTCAAAATGACCTGATTTCAGCTTTAAAATACTCAGATCGTCCTGGCCGATCGCACGATCGTCCTAGACGATCAGACCAATTTCACATCGTCTTGGGACGATTTCGCAGGACGATTCAGGACGATAATTAATTTTCAAAAACCCCTTGCTCTCTGACTTGTGCCATCCACTGATCGTCCCGGGACGATGCCTCGATCGTCCTGGACGATCAGACCAAAAACCCATCGTCCTGGCCGATTCCCTGGACGATCCTCAGGACGTTAATTAATTCTGAAAAAGTCCTGCTCTCTGTCTTTTGCACTGAACTGATCGGCCTTGGACGATGCCCCTATCGGCTTGGCCGATCCTGGGAGAAAAATCACCTGGAGCAATCTGGGTAATTTCTGGAGCAAATTTCAACAGATCGTCTCAGGACGATCCCAGATCGTCCTGGACGATCCTGGAGCAGAATCAGAACTTCACAGCAGGAGGACCATCAATGGGTTGATGAGAAAATAGAGCATATGTGACTATATAAGTTTAATATTTTAAGTGTCATGTGTAAATTGATTAATCTTGTATTAACTTTTGTAGGAAGAGTATACACGACTTCGAGAGAGTTGGGTTGGAGTAGGTAAGGGTTCCTCTAGGGTATATGCAGATTATTATGACTACTACACTTGGTTGCAAGTGGTAGATGGAATGCAAAAAAGACAGGTTTATAGATTAGGCTCGCAAGCTTACGCATACGAGGGCAGACCTCAGGTGGCTCTAGCTTCTCAACAGGCGGCCAAGATACTTTATATAGCCAACAAGTGGCTACTCTTACAACAGAGCTATATCAAGTCCAAAAATCACAAACTGGCATACAAATGCAGATGCAGATACATCAAAGTTAGATATTGGAGGAGTTGCAAATAATGAGAGAGCAATTCAATGGAAAGTATTCAACATCAGTAGAGAAGGTGAATGACAAAATAGATTATGATTAGACTTTTTGTTATGATTGGACATTTTATTGATATGTGTTTGTATATTTTATGGTCCATTTTTATTGTGTAATGCACTTGATGTTTATTTTAGAACTATTTAGTAATCGTGGAATATATTTTTTGTGATCAAATGTCTTATTACATATAGCATTAGAATTTTTGTTTGAAGTTGAAACATGAGTAATATATGTTTTATATATGTTGTGCTGTATTGTTGTGTTATAGAATATTTAAGAGTAAAAAGAGTAAAAAGAATAAAAAATATATATTTAAGAGGAATGGCTATTTTTTATGTTAGAGGTTTCTGATGGATTATCCTCCAGTAACAACGATGAGACAAATAAGTAGAATGTTTTCAGCCGAATAGTTATGTCGAAAGTTATGCCATCCCTTCTGACGTGAGACTCCCCGATTTTCTTGGCATAAATAACTAACGACTTTATCACCGGTAATTCCGGCAGCTATATTTCACCGAAAATGCCGACATAAATCCCATCGGAAACAATGATATGGAACCGCCATTTCCGATGCTACATTTCTGCTGGAAATGAATTTCTAACACTTGTTTTACCGTTGATCCATTTTTCGTCGGAAATTTAGTGGCGGATAATGTTCATTTCCTACGGATTTTGGCCGTTGGAAATACAAGCTTTTCCTGTAGTGTAAGCTCAAAATAAAGCAAAGACTGAATTAAGCACAAGTGCACGTGTCACTCAAGTAATAAAGAGTGAGTTTGAGTGTTGATCTCATGAGGACTTGAACTATCCTAATATTACCCTAGTATTGTTTATATGAATCATAATATTTGTCATAAAAATCCAAATTTAAGGAGTTCTCTAAAATTCCTACTTTGTTGGTGAAATGTAAAATTCAATTAATGAAAGTGTCATGAACCTATGATAGTGATGAAAGAAATGTTTACCTAAGTTTGACTATCCTACGGTATGTTTTGAAAAAGAGTAAATACATTATTAGATCTTTGTTGAGCTTGTAAGAGTTTGAAGCAAAGTTTTCACTCAACTACAGTTGTTGTATCACCTTAGAATCCAGAATCCTAACCATCCTATGTCTAGGCATGATAGTGTTTCATTTCAAATCTCATATTTATTCCCTTATTCTTCTATCGAGGTAACAAGTTGCATCAACCGTTTAGAACATATGATTTTCCAAAATTATACCTGTAGTAGCGGGGTGACACTGTGCTTTTGGTCGCAGTGGTGCTAAGAAGCGTCATAGAGTGGCACTTCAACTCCGGTTCTCTTTTTCTACAATAACTTTGAAATTACTTGCGGCGCAACGATGCTAGGTCACTTGGGCGTCGTAGCATAATGCACATAAACGAGTTTTTATATTTATTTTCACTTCATTTCTTCCCCCCATTCATGGCTTGCTAGGTAAGGAAGAATATAGGGAAAGGGAGAGGATATAGGAAGAGAGAGAAAGCTTCTCTTGGTCTTTTTTGTTCGTTGTTGCATTTATTTATATATATATATATATATATATAATGGTTTGCTATTTAAATTATGGTTAAACACATAAAAAGCCCAAACATTACACACTTATGTCCTTATTCATCAATAGCTGCAAGAAACTCTTTCTACTTAACACATTATTGCTCTTCAAATTAACCATTCATGGTGCTTTCTTCTAAAGAAACTTTAACATATTTTCTCCCCATTTGTGGTATAGCTTCATAAGCCATTATGTAGTTATGTTGCATATCCAATTATAATATATTGGGCTGAGGCAATCATCTTTAAGGCAATCGACTTATAATGAGTTGCAGAACTTGTATGATAAAATGTTGCATAATACTACTTAACGAATGCTCCATTTATTTTCAAAAGTGGAGAATTTTTGTTCAAACATAACTTATAAGTATATTTCAAAAAAAAAAAAAAGTTAGTATATTTATCAAATTTGAGCGTTGTGTTGCATATAAAGTCAAGTGTTCCTTTAAATTATTATATCTTATTAACAAAATTAAAAGTATTATAGCAAAATTTTATTCTTTATTACATGGAATTATTTTTGGAGAAAATTATATAAAACTATATTAATAGAGTTTATATTAAGATGAGACTATTTTGATTACATTTGCTATTTATTTCAAAAGTTATATATCATTCAGATTCAACAAAGTAATTAGCAATATAAATTAATTTATAGTATTTTTTAGAGCTATTTATATTAAATTTCTAATAAAATAAAAATAGCATCTCTAATAAATTAATGATAATGTTTAATTCATCATATTATTTTCTAATTTAATCATACCAAAAAATAGCATATGATAAGTGAACTAATGATATGTATAATAAAATAATATCACATTGAAGATTTATTTCATTATCTTTGATAAGTTTTGGAAGAAGGGAATAGAAAAATTAGAAGAAAAAAAAACACTATTTTGCTAGGGCAAAAGGAGCGAATGGAAGATTAATTTTCTTCTCCGTCATATCAATCCCTGTCAGCTTTCTCCCCATTCTGAAACCCTCAGCCTTCATCTTGCTAGTATTTCTCTCTCATGGTTGAGCCGGGTGAGATTTAATGGCGAGCGAGTGAGAAGCAGCGCCGTCTGTGATCTCCATCGCAGAAACAGCGATCTTGGGAGGATTTCGATTTTGGATGCGCAGTCCGATCCTGGCCGACTTTTTAGCCGGAATCCATTTTGGAGAATGAATGGAAAGGGAGGAGGCGAGGAAGGTGTCGCAGCTACTTCCTCGGTCTCACCGCCGCTCGATTGGAAATTCTCTCAAGTTTTCGGCGAGCGGACTGCTGGAGAGGAAGTCCAAGAAGGTATGCCCCTTCAATTTGTTATAGATCTAGTCTACGTTGGGGCTGAGACTTTCACTGGTGTAGTATAGTAGCTTCGTTTTATTCCGCGGTTTCGGATGGTTAGATCGAACGCTGTGTCAATTTCTATGTAGCTGCCCATCGATTGTTATTTAGGATCTGTTTTAAATTTCTCGTAAGGGGGTATTATAGAGAAGGGAGCTTGGCTAAATTTTTATTTTTTTATCGCGTATTGGGATTTCCTGTCGATGATGTGAGCTTAGTTACGTGTTAGCTTTTCTCTCTCTGTGATGTTGATGAAATCTGCTAGAACATGAACTTATGCATTGCTGATTATAGTCAACCGGTCTTGTTGCACTTAGTTTAACAAACTTGCTGTACATTAGGTATGTACACATGGAACTTTTATTGATGGAGTCAATGGACTCCTTCTGCTGCTTCTTTATTTATCCTTGTTATCTTATGTCGGACATTATGCAGAAGCTTCATTTTATTCTTTCTATATTTTCCTGAAAAGTGTACATTTCCTGATTTGCGCTGGAATTATTCGAAGAAAGAGATTTTAGTTCTCCATTTAATGTTTATATTGTTACAGCTAAAAGATTCCATTAGAGGTCATGTATGGTTGCATGGTTAACTTGTATTGCTCCAGAAACGAAATTCTGAGAATGTTTATTTATTTATTTACTCAACTTTTTTTGTTCTTTCAATTCTTAAACTTGGGGTTTCAGGTAAGGCTGATAGGATAAATTAGAAGAAATGTTGTATTATGTTTGATAAAGCTTTCAATCATGCCTTTTGAGGGATCACTTTCATTGCCTGACAGACTAATAGACTTTGTCTGACGACTAGATGAGATGCTAAATCTCACTAGACATATAAATGATTGCTATCGGAGGACCAATAAATGTTAATGCAAAACTTTTTTGTATAAAATTTCATTATCCTATCCAAACAAGATTATGGATAGCTTTTCTAGTAGGAGAAGGTTGGTAACATAAATGAATTATTCAGCATTTCATAATTAAACCGTGCAAACTATACAGCTCTTATGCACTTATATATTTTCATTATGGCTAGCTAGCACGGTATGAAAACACAAACTATGAGTCAGCTTACTTCTTATTTCAGAAAAAAAAAAGAGTTGTAGTCAACTTTTGATGCTTGATTTGAGACTTGCTCTCAATAGCATTGCTGGGCTGGCAATGGATTTGCTTGAAAGAGATTTTATTAAATTATGCTCTCCAAGCATTGATATCATTTATTATGGTTCCAACATGTGAGGCAGGACTGACTTTTGTTAAACGGTCTGAGTTTCCTTCAGGATTAGCTTGTTGGATCCGTGAAATTTGTCTAATTAAGGCCTCGTTTGACTAGGCTTATTTTCTCCTTTCTCCATCTGAATAAGCAAAAATTAGTTACCCTAATTGTTTGGAATAGAAGCTTAACCATAATTCCTTTTCGCCAAACTCCATTTTTTCGGTGGTTGCAAAATTTTTTTTGTTTCTGCTTATTCAGTCACAAAACGGAGTTTCAAAAGTAAAATGTCGGATCAAGCCCTACTGGCATGACCCCCATCGTAAATCTATTATTTGATACGAAAATAAATTAATTTTCCAACATTAAAATATTTTTTTGTTTAAGTTGAGTTGTTTTGCTTTTTCTCAACCTCCTTTTTTAAAACTCCTTTTTATGTAAGCATAAACCGAATCAAACGAAGCCTAAGTATTATCTCAGTTAGCAAAGTGCCTGCTTGTAGAATTGATGCGGAGAAGGGTTGTTAATTGATAATTACAATAATATGGGCCAGTGGTAGTACCACACCCCCTTTATTATTGCATTTGAGTTGACTATGTAAAAGTCTGCAGAGGGGAATGCCCAGGAGATCAATTTTGGATAAGGTCTAACTCGGACAGTTTTTTCAGTGTTGCTGCTTAATTAGAATCTATAACTTCTTAATATGATATAATTTATTCTGCTAGAGTAACTACTATCCTTAGCCTTGAATTTGTGGGTGGGAGCTCTGAAATTTAAATTTGTGTGAGCTTTCCTCAGGATTCTACAATCATAGCGTGTCTCAGTGTTGTTAAGATTTTGTTGTATTGTTCTCAGTTAACAGCACAGCTACTTGATTTATATTAGAGTAGTTAGGCAGTCTATTCTCTGTTAATGGAGTGTTTGTAGACATTCCCGGCAAATTTCTATTCACTGAAATGGGCAGCTATGCACTTCTCTTCCTTATATTTCCATTGGTTTCTTATTTTTAGGCTATTTTGATTACCAGGTTTTCTTTTATAATTTTATTCTATTGTTCCTGTATTCTTCGCTCGTATAATTTTATTCTATTGCTCTTATATGTCAGAAACATTGTGCTGTGTCTAATGCTACTGCCAATTGTCTCTCTTTGCCTTATAGTTGTTTGTGATGTTTCTCAAGTGAATTGTAATTTGTCACAGTTGACATTATTTCTGCAATTGAATTTGACAAATCTGGCGACCACCTTGCCACTGGAGATAGAGGGGGTCGTGTGGTTTTATTCGAAAGGACAGATGTTAAGGAGGTATGATGACTTCCATCTTTTTTTTTTGGCCATGGCTTTAATTAGCTTTTTTGTGACTTATATAATATATTATGCATCCATTATATAGCATGGTTCTAGACGGGAGCTTGAGAAGCTAGACTATTCAATCAGCAGACATCCAGAGTTTCGCTACAAAACAGAATTCCAAAGTCATGAACCTGAGGTATTATTTTGGCTATACTCATTCATTTAAGGAGGATTGTTTCATGTGATGCTTCGTTTGGTCTGTACTAGTTTCGCTCAATGTTCTCAGTTTGACTACCTCAAAAGCTTGGAAATAGAAGAGAAAATCAACAAGATCAGATGGTGCCAAACTTCAAATGGTGCATTATTTCTTCTGTCAACTAATGATAAGACAATCAAGTTTTGGAAGGTAGATTTTTACTATTTAGATTCACCATCTATTTTTAGGCAGATCTATGTGCATATTTTTGTACTCATCAAGTTGTGGCATGAAAAAACACGATCTTGCTTGGCCTCTTTGTATACGAATATTTTATGGAGGGCTGCTAGACAAAGACCTTGAAGTAGCTTTTTTTTTGGGGAGGGGGGCGGGGAATGCATTCTTTGCCTTGCACCATTTTGCATTATTAAATTAGTTCTACCATTTCAGAGTTTTTCTTATGGCATTTGTACATTGATTCATGCATGATGGGTGGATGTTCCCAGATAAATTTTTTTAGTGCTTATTTTTTATACTTTGAAATTTGCATCCTTGAGCATTTGTTTGTCTTTAGAATGGGTCACTATTAACTTTTTTGTTTGTTAAATTTAAATGGTATATTGGTACAGTTTCTTGAGATTATGACTTTTCCTATTTTTTCTTTATTTATACGAAAGTTTGCATCCTTCATAGCCCGAGTTAGGGTGCATTCTCAAAATTGCTTCTGGTTGTCCAAGTACCCTGGCCACTTGGGATCAAACTACTTGCAGTTCTAATAAAATAAAAAAATGTAGTTATAGACGCCTGTTACAATTTGAGGCCAAAAAGTTAATATTAGAGCGAGCTTGAACACAAATATCCAGGAAAATATGTGGTTTGAGAAGACGTGTCTTATGAACACGAAAGAGCTGTATAAAAGTTTGCGGCAAAAGAATGCCACCAATCCCATCAATAAAAGCAATAAAAGGAAAAATTATTGGTTAACACGTGATAAAGAAGCAACAACTTTGTAAAAGAGAAGATTTAACGATGTTATGAAAAAAAAATTGAATATCAACAAAAATCATAGGGTAAGCGAGGAGTTTTAACTCTGATCTGATGGCCATCAAATTCTACAAATCCTAGCAACTCCACCTACTGGCTAGAACCAACCAAGGCCAAAGTGATGGAGATCCAATAATCAATCATTAATGAACAAATATTAATGTAAGGAGGGTGACAACCCTAATTGATTTAAACAATGGGAGTGCCCAACAAACACATGCAAAATCCACAAAAATAAGAATGGGGTGAAATAAATTCAAAATTATAGAATATCAAAATCTAAACTTATCCACAACCAAATCGATTAACTCTCCATAGATTAAAGCAACATTCAACCCAAAATATAATGATGAGTATACATAGGAATACCCCATTTGATCGCCAAACAAAAATTTCACAAAATAACTCAAAGGAGCTAAGGTAAGAAACAACCTATTTAACAATAGAGACAACGCATATACCGCTTGCTACCAATATCTGGAAAAGGAAATTTTGATTCTTGACCAGCACAGTATAGGTAATGCCAATGCTTATAGGTAAGCAATGGCCAAATCTCAAAGTAGTGGCATGGTAAGTTGATAAAGTTCGATAAGGTAATGACAAAATTTATGTAGATGATAAATCTTTGAAGGTCAAATAGGCATTAGCCTACTAACTAAATTCCACCCTAATGCCCAAATGTATAAATATGCAGCTCTCAAGCCACAACAAAGTTGTTGCTCATTAACTCTCATCCCTTAAAACTATGGTGGTATGTAAATCTATTTTCAATAGAGCGTATCAAAGCAACTCTCAATGCACACAATAAAAGTCTAAACCTTGCCTAGAACTGAGAATCGCAAGATGTATACATTGATAGAAAAAGTCAGCTCTAACAATAGGAAAATCACAATGCCCAACATAGCATACGAATGTTATACCATCAGGGAATACATAATATTGATACATCAAGGTAAGAGCATGAACATAAAATAACAAGATAATGAATAACAACATCTGGAAAAGCTGACAGAAGAAAAGCATAAAGAAACACCCTTTTAAGATTTCTAAGGATGCTGATGTAGAACTAAATGTGTGAGTAATTATGTAATGCTGAAAATACGTCTTTTAATTAGAGCAACAATAATTACGTTTACTTTTAGTGATTTAAACAAATATTAAAACAATAAGGAGATATTTACGCTTAGACCAAATTACAAGATAAAAGTTAGAATCACGAATAATCAATTCCAATCACAATTCGCATAGCATGGAGTTCAAAGGAAATTCCTATGTTAACATATAGATTAGGCGCTAATTGGATCTGCTCACTCACACTCTTGATGTGTTAAACGAAGATAGGTTGCACAACCTTTACAATACCACAAATTAAAAAAAAAAGACTTAGAAAAACAAAGACTTGGAGGAGAAATTCACCATTATCAGGATTTGGAAATGATCTGCCACTGAACGGGAGAGAGTTGTTCGTCAATAGCAGCGGCGAGGGTTTTTTTTTTTATTTCTCTTCTTAGAAGTTAGACAGCCTGTCCTGTGATTTATGTTCATTCTATACTACAGATTTACATTTATTCTCTTTAACCGTGCAGGTACAAGAGAAGAAAGTGAAGAAAGTTTCTGAGATGAATGTTGATTCTTCACAAGCTTCTGCAAATGGTAACATTCCTAGCTCATGTTCAGCCAGTCCAAGACCGTGCCTCCCAAATGGTGGGTGTTCTGAAAGGCCATACAAATATTTGAGCAGTGACTTCAAGTTTCCCCCTGGGGGGTTTCCGACTCTGCGTCTTCCTGTGGTAGTTGTACTTATACACTCTAGTGAATAAATGTATCATATTGTATAAGCTATAGTATATTTGGTTCAAACGTAATGTCTCATGAACATTTTATTGTGGGCCGTGCTTCCTGAACTTGATTGATTCTTAAACAATTATAAGTTTATTTAATCTACAGTTTTTTTTTTTTTTAAATTTTGCTGAAGGTTTCCTTAATTGAATTGATAGTCGTATTAGTTACATAGCAGACGAATATGCTAGATTTTTTATTCATAGGTGGGCAAGTTTTTTATCTTGTGTCAGCTTCTGCAGATATGTGTTCAATTCAGCTGAAATTTGTTTGTTTCATATATATTAGTCTGGGATAAGTCCTTCAGTTGATTAGCATTTAGCAGTATTGTTCTCTCCCACCAAATGCATGCAAATGAACTAAGTTCAGGTTCATTGAAATAAACACGTTAATTAGTAAGGATTAGTGTCTGCGAGTTCTCAAATAAAATGTTAGATCAAGTTTTACAGAAAATATTTAGGAAACTAGAAATGCATGCAATTTGCAGATGAAAATCTTTCAGATTCTCTGTTTTATTCTTTTATTTTCAATTATTGTGCATATGCTGAATATTATTCTTGTTACTGTAACTGTTATTACCGACTTTTGATCTCATGGCTGACTTTTACTGGATGAATCTTTGTGTAGGTAGCTAGCGAAGATGCAAGCCTTATTGCTAGATGTCGTAGAGTATATGCTCATGCTCATGATTATCATATCAATTCTATTTCCAAAAACAGGTTCATATCTTGCTGTACTTGCTATTCTATGGTTTTGTGGTTGGAGACTTGATTTTGGGAGCAAAATTTTCATATTTGTATGGATTAAAATTCTATATCATTAATGTTCTTGTTGTTGTTGTGTTATTTGTGTTATTTTAAGGTAACGGGTCGTTACTTTTTTCCTTCAGCCTCATTCTTCATTGTTTAAACCTAGGAACAGAGGGTTGAAGATGTTAGGACTTGAACACCAAAAATTAGCAAACAAACCATAAATTTTAGCAAACAAACATATTCTTATTGATAAGAAAAGAAATACAAACAAACAAGATACAATGGTCCTCTTTTGAGAGGAGGATCTTCTCTCCCAAATTCTAGACGCCGCTAGAATACCTCAAATCTCACGAAAACAGGGGACAATTAACACTAACAAAACTCATTAATAGCCTCCCTAAACCTAGACAAACTCTCCTTTAAATAGCCTTAGAACACAAAATCATAAATAGAACATTCTTAAATAATTTAAACATGATTTAAGAAAACTTCCTAAACAATTAAACATATTTTAGAAAATATTCTTAAACAAAATTAAGCACTTTCTAAATAGCATAAATATAATTATGAAACTTTCCTAAACACCTGCCAAATATGAATTCAATCAGCCCTATTTACTTAAATAAATCTTTCCTAATTTTCTCGCCAATCTAAAGTCAAATAAGCCATCTTTTCCTAAATAAACTTTCATAATTATTTCTCCCTTGATTTCTCCTTCTTACATGTGAATATTAACTCTCCTGGGATCCACAAGGTGGGGCCCCCTTGCGTATCAATAATTCTTCCCCAAAAAACACCTTGTCCTCAAGGTCATGAACAAGTGCTTCATAATAACGCTCCATTTGAGTCATCCTCCTAGCAATACTTCATTCTCAGTGTTTGATATATACAATTGCTCTGAAAGTTCAAACATTTTCTTCTCCTTAATGCCTTCTGAATAAAGAAGATCAGCGAAACAACTTACATCATCCAATCCCTGGACATGTTGTTCAGATGGTGAAACTGATGAATATTGATTTTTTTTGTCTGTCTTCCACTCACATGTTCTACAGACAATTCCTGGGCAATATTTTTTTTAAGATTCTGAATTAAGGTGCCCCGAACATTAAATTCTGAATAGATATAATCGAATTCATTGCCATCATACCCCAAGCATGCCCTATTTTGAATCTGCTGAGCTTAGATTCAATTAGAAAAATTCCTTGAAGCAACTTTGACTGAAAATCACTAGGCTGGTTGCTGTGCCCTGGATCAAGTGCACTGTCAACAAGCGTACTGCCAAATGAGGCCTCCTCTGGGAAGCATTTCACCTGTACAGGTGAAGGGGTTTTCCTTCTAGAACTCTGTTGGGAAGTTGAAGTAGTCTTCAATTCATCAGATCATTTTTGAACTTTCAATACTCAGATTTGAGTATGTTGAATTCTCCAGCAAGCTTTTCTCTCGAGGAAAGCTCCATGGAAAGTTGTTGAGCTAAATGTTGTGTTTCGGAAGATAATTCATCCGATATATTTTGCAATAACTTCAGATTTAAGCTGCAAAACTGCTGACTCGGCCGCTTGTACTCTTGCAGTCAGTGTAGCACTGTCTTCACAAGTAGAAGCTAAATCATTATCAATCGATTAGTCTGAACTCCAACCTTGATTCCAATGGTTGCTTAGCTGGCTTGAAAGCTGCTTGTAGTTGTTCTTTCCTTTCCCGTGTTTGAGCTATGAACTGGTGTAAATCTAGCTGCATCGCCAGAAGCCTTGTTCTTGAAACCATCAAGTTCAGCCAAGCCAGAAAAATCATTCTTTTATAGAAACTTTCTGAGGTGTATGATGAAGATGAACCATCAACTTCAGCCGTTGAATCTTCGTACTCTTCATCCAACTCACCCACCTCCTTAAGAGATGGAAGCCCTGTAGAATCGCCCTTGTACCTGACCCTTGCATTAACCTTATCTATGTGTTTGCTGGTTCTAGAAGGAGCAGGTCTAATCTCATTAGGGTCATGAATTATCTTTCTAGAAGATGCTTGAAAGCTCTGTACACTAAGCTCCCTTTGTTGCTCAAATTCTCTTAACCTTATTTTTTAGGTTAAAAATTGCAGATATGTTATGTAGCTCAATAAGATTTTTCCTTGAGATGGTTATTATCCTCTTTAATGATTATTATCCTCTTTAATTTGTTTGTTGAAAGTTCTGAGTTGCTCCTCTTTCTTGTCCTTAGTTATTCGTATCTTCAGCTTTCTCACCTTAGGATCGCCACCACCCAATAGCTTCTTCCTTCAGTGCAGCGAGTGTCGTGATCTCCCCATATTTCCCCCATGTATCGAGGTTGGGAATCCCACCTTTCTTCCACCCTCATTGCATGACCTGATCACATGACTCAGCTAGATCTCCTCCATCTCTGGTCTCCCAATCCCCTTGCCCTACCTCCAATAGTGGTCGGTCCCACCAGCTCCACCACAAAATTCCCTAATTGCAGCACCCCCCCCCCCCATCTATAAACCCTATTCCACCCCTTCTTGGAGCCCTAGGAGCTGGCTTTGGATGAAATGAGCTCTCATCGTCGAACTCTTCCCATCTAATCTCTTTCCCTTTATATTCAGCCAAGGGAATCCCGATCAAATCTTGATTAGGCTTATCAATTGGAACTGTCAATGAGGTTTTGGATCGCATCTTCATTAACTTTCTCATCATCTTCTTCAAAATTTTCTTTCCCTTTGGTTCATCCCCCAAGGAATTTTTGGTGAAGATTTCTACTGCATCTTGATTATTTTCTTCATCGTATCCTCCAAATTCCCAAGCCTTTTTTTTTCCATAGTTGGAAAGCGCTCATTCAACATCCCACATCTGTTCGTAGTTGCTCTACTTCTCCCTTCAACTTTTATTCCAATGCTTCAACTCTTCTCTTGGCCATCAATCTCAAGAAATTGCTCTGATACCAATTTTAATAGGACTTGAACACCAAAAATCAGCAAACAAACCATAAATTTCAGCATACCAATAGATTTTTATTGATAAGAAAAGAAATATGAACAAATAAGATACAATGGTCCTCTTTCGAGAGGAGGATCTTCTCTCGCAAATTCTAGATGCCGCTAGAATCCCTCACAAAAACAATGATAAAACTCATCAATAGTCTCCCTAAATCCTAGATAAACTCCCCCTTAAATAGCACTAGAACACAATCATAAATAGAACCTTCCTAAATAATTTAAACATTATTTAGAAAAAATTCCTAAACAATTAAACATAATTTAGGAAACCTTCCTAATAATTAAATATATTTTAGAAAACCTTTCTAAACAATTAGACACTTCATAAATAACATAAATATAATTAGGAAACTTTCCTAAACACCTCCAAAATCAAAATTTAAATATGCCCTCTTTCGTTAAATGAACTTTTCCTATTGTCTTTCCCAATCTAAATTCAAATCAGCCATATTTCCTTAAATAAACTTTTCTAATTATTTCTCTCCTGATTTTTCCTTCTTATATAGTGAATGTTAACTCCCATGGGCCCCACAAGGTGGCCCTCTAGCGTACCAGAAGACTATGGACTATTTAGAACATTCCTATATTGAAATGTTTTATCTTTAGATAGAGGGTGTGGTACTTTAGTTAGGAGGGAAGACTAATACGAAAAAGGAGATCCCATCGATTCTACAAACTGTATTATCTATATTGTTGGTTGAACAAAGTGCAGAGAAATGAAAACGTGAGATTGGATACAATTGGCTTCATGTTCATGACCAAAACTTCTTATCAAGCATGAAATCTGTGCTTGGACTAGCCCGAGTCATAGGAGCTTTGCGAACGAAACATGCTTATGGAGCAATGACTTGGGTGCTTTGCTTATATAGTGGCACCCTGGATCTCTCCAGCACATCTTAGCAGTACAGAGTGTCAGAATGCACTTGATTCCTCTTTGACTAGGAAACACATTTTTTTTTTTCACATTTAACAACAATAGTTTTAAATGGCTTAGTTTTGAATCCTCAACTTGGACAGTTTGTTAGAATCCTCAATTTCAATGGCTTTATTGGTCATTTTTGTGTAAATTATTCATGTTTGACTTGTTCTTTTTAGTAAACCAGTCAAGATTGACCAAGAATTTTCAATTTATTTACTTGATAAGTTGAACTCTAATAAGAGCTCAGTTGATTATGTTTAGCTTGACAAGAGCTCGATATATACAAAATATTAAATATTATGAATGTATATGCGTTGGGGATGTAAAAAATTTGAACATGAATGGTTGAATCTCTCTTTAGATCAGTTTGTGTTAACTATCAAGCTAAGCAAAAATGAGATTAAGGTTTTAACAAGCTTAAAAATCTTGGTTGTGTTCAACTTGTTTATTATTGTGCTGAACATGAGCCAAACACAATAATAAAGCTCAGTTGAAGACCATCATATACATTAACAATTTTTTGATTGATGACCCATTGCATTAAAAGATTTTTATGTTTTATGTTTTTTTTTTTTTTCATGGGAAATATCATCTAAGATGGATAGAACTTAAAAAATTGTTTCTATGATTTCTGAAGTCTATTAGATAGTTTTAATTAACATTACTAAAAAATGCATGTTTGTGTGGTTATGGGGCATTCACTCTTAATGACGAGCTGTTGTTTGGAGTCCCCTATTTTTCATACAGATCGACCCTAGTCAGAGTTTGATTGGAAATGTTTTAGCCTATAAATTTATGTTGGGGCTCATTTTAGACAATCATGATTAACTATCTGCGTATTATCTAACAGGCTGCCTATACTAGTTGATCATGTCCATTTGGTTTCAAGTATCTCTGCAAACCTCTTAATGGACAAGGCTGTGTTTTAAAATGAGGTGTTTTCTTTGTAACTTAAGTTTCCATGTTCTTGTTGATGTTAGAGCCTTCTGCATCGCATAACATCTAACTTTCAGCAGGAGCGAACAAGATACATCTTGAAGAGCTGGAAAAATTGATTATGGCTATATAGATGGCCAATGGTCAGCTCCTTTTTACTGTTGCACGTAATTTGTGTGACACTTTATAGCTTAGTTAACCAGTGCCAAAGATTTCTTGGTAGTTTAAAGATCAATAAAGCTAAGGCTTTAATTAAAAAACAACACAATTTTTTTTTGATATCTATGCACTTCAATAAAAAAAACAATTCCTCGTTAACCAGCAGAAAAAAAGGTAGGCAACGTCTGATTTTACCATTCGTTGAAGTACTTTAACATAAAAAAAAAAACAATTCCTCATGAACCAGCAGAAAAAAAGGCAGGCAACGTCTGATTTTACCATGCGTTGAAGTACTTGAACAAGCCAAAACACTTTGAAAAGTATGATTTTGATATCATTTGTCATCCTTGTTTTTTTGTTGGTGTGTGGTAGTAGCATCGTCTTTTTTTATTTATATGTTTGTTTGTTTTTTGTTCCTCACGCTTTCTGCTGTTTGCGTGTACATGGGTGTGTTTAAGAAGGTTTGGGGTCCCGCAGTGGGGGGAAGGGTAACATTCTGATGCATTGGTTACTTTTAATTTTATTGCCTTTTATTGTAATGTTCTGCTTTATTCTTTCATTTTTCAATTGATTATTCAATTTTTTCCAATGGTTCTGCTAATTGTTCCAAACTTAACTCCTGAAAGCAGTGATATATTAGCTTACACAATGATGCGATAACTTACAAAGTTCTTTTATCCTATCAGCGAAGTATTTAGAGCTTTCATGGTCCATGTAACAAAATGGTTTTCATGCCATGCTTATGTGAAATGTGTAACCCTGGATAAACTTGCACACTTCTTAAGCTTTAGACATGCTTAACATTTTTATTTGTTCACTTTCTTTCTTATAATACCGCATTCTTATTCTTGCTTTATTTGCTGTTTCCAGTGATGGAGAGACGTTCATATCCGCAGATGATCTGCGAATAAATCTTTGGAATTTAGAAATTAGCAACCAGAGCTTTAACATTGTTGATGTGAAGCCTGCAAACATGGAGGACCTAACAGGTATCGTTTTATATGAGCTGATGTATATCGAATTTTACTGGTTATATTTTACTTTAAATGATTTTGCCAAATATTTTTATTTGCTTTTGATCAGTTTTATTCCTATAACACTATGAATGTTTTTTGCAGAAATTTGTTTTTCCACATATTGCATGTGCTGTTTCTGAAATTTCATTGCAATCTCTGTTAGTCTATTATGCATTAATTTTCTACTCATGAAGTTTCTATATTACAGCTCTGAAGTTTCTGCAGAGGGTCTGAAACTGAATTTTAAATTTTATGTTTTCAAGTTCATAGGTGAATGTATCCAATGGGAAAACACAGTATGTTTCATTCAGCATAGTCTTACTTTTCATATAAGAATACATATGATATTGTGAACTCTTTTATGATAGACGGTACACTGTAATATAGAGACTTATTAGATTTACGAGGAACATCCAGTAAACACACTTTATAAGCCTGTTGAGGGAATTCTTTCTCGATTAGCCATTTTGTACCATGGACTATTGGTAGTGGATTTTGTTACATTCCCTGCAAATTGCCTACGTTCTTCAAGCTCTTGCCATTTCTTTTATCTTTATCCATGTCTATCTAATGTTGTGAGCTGTTCTTTTAATGCACATTCTTCCCAATTACAGACAGTGAGACCTCATATTGTATAGCACAATAAAGTTGTTATTATAGCATATTTACTTATTTGTTTAACATATGAGTCAGCGGGAGAGAATGGAGAAGAATAAATTCAAAATATTTGGGATGTTTTAATTCCAGTGGATGTGGTGAACACTTCAAATGCTTGATATCCATTTGATGTAATGTTAGACATTGTCATATTTTCTATAGTAAGCAACACATCCATTGACAAGGAACCGTGCTCACACATGCATGCACGCACGTGCATTTGCAATATACTAACCACAACATATACACCTGTACCTCTGCAAACACAAAGCACACCACACATACCCACAGTACATGCACATAAACGCAACTCACAACAGACACATACCACCCATTATGCATGTTCACACACAAACCTGGCACAAACACAACATGAACAAAATTTTGGTCAAACAATGATTTGAGCTAATTTTTTGTTAGCTAATATTGTATGCAAGTGGTTCTCAAATCATGATTTGCGAAAAGTTGTTTTGAGATGAGCTAAGCTCATATTTGTCAAATATGATCCCTCTACATTGAGTTTACTCTAAAATACATTTGTAAAACTAACGAACAAAGAGAAAGAACTAGTCCTTTTACTCAATTGCATTTTGTTGGACACCATAATCTAGTATTAGAACTTTGCTCTAGGGGAATAATATGCTTGGAGAAAATTCTTTGAATGCTAGAGACCCTTGCTCGATAAGCTTTGCCAAAATGGTTATGGTAAAAATGTGGGGAATTTTCCCCGTGACCATACCTGGCTGTAAATTGGATGTGTGGAAGACTTTTGGAATTTCCATGAATTTTTTCTAGGACTAGGGATTTATTTGTTATGGAATACTTGAATAAGGAATTTTGTTTTTTTTTACAAATTTCTCCTCAAAAAAGCAGGTATGCTTGCTGTTCTTACTCTTGGATTGCTGAAAAACAGCAATTCAGGTTCACGCTTTACTCCATTTGCTATTGCATTTTTATTTTAAGTGGGGCGGCTTTTTCTGGTGAGGTTGCTAGAAGTTGCAATTAATGTGTTTAATCTCTTATGCTTTTTTTCAGCTGTTTTGATGGAATTTGGCAGATTTTATTTAATATTTTTTCAATATTGTAATGTGGTATTAACTCGTATTTTGCTTTTGATTTGGTTCTTTCTCTAATGCTTTACAGAGGTTATAACATCAGCCGAGTTTCATCCTATGCAATGTAACACTCTAGCATATTGTAGCTCAAAGGGCTCAATACGACTTGTTGATTTGAGGCAATCGGCTTTATGTGATAATCACTCCAAGTTGTAAGTCGCTCTTTTTCAATTTCCATTGTACAGCTACATATGTTTTTTCTTGATGAAGGTGGTGGGTGTTGAAAGTGCAAATTGATACAGCAGCTCTAATCTTTTTATTGTCTAATTGTTTGCTTGGTAAATCATGCGCTTAATAGGTTTGAGGAGCATGAGACACCTGGTACTAGGTCCTTTTTCACTGAGATCATTGCGTCAATTTCAGATATTAAATTTTCCAAGAATGGAAGGCATATTCTGAGTCGTGATTACATGACACTTAAGGTTGAATGTTCTATCCATCAATTTAATTTTTTTGCTTTCATTATTGATTTTAACCGTGTAATGTAAGGAAATGCTTGTCTGATGTGCACTATTATGAATGCACGAACTTGTTTGGGCTATGCAGCTGTTGATATTTTCACTTATTCTAGCATCCACCATTTCTTTGGCTATTATCTTGATCTGAAATGTTTTATTGTGTGGTTATTTGATGGAAAACAGGCTGACAACTGTAACTGATTATCACAGTCTCTGTGAGAAGTTTAGTTTTATGGGTTGAGATATGTATGAAGCTTCAATCGTCAATAATTTATGTTTTCAGAGTACTAAACTCATTTGCTGTGGTATATGTCATTTTTATTTGATTTTTATTGATATTTTATTAGATTGGTAACTTTGATTCAAACATATCCTATGAAATCGGTATGAAGGATATTCTTTCTGGTTCTATGAAGATTTTATTTGATCCAGTTTTTCAGAAGTGTAGATCTAAGCCAGTTAACGCTAAGTTTTAACTCTGTTATAGCACATGGTTCTTAGTTGGCTTATATCACGTACTGTTGTATTTGGCTCATTTTCTTTTTCGTTTGTTAAAGCAAAAAAAATATGGTGGCATTTTTTTTCAACCCTTACACCCATCACATTAAAGTAGCCTTATGCTTTGATTGGGAGTTGAATGAAGAAAGAAAGTACTTGGAGGAGAGGAATGAAAGAATGTAGATTTTTTTCTCCTGATTGTATGAAATTGATTCTTTCTTATATTTCTTTTATTCATAAAAACAACTTGGTATGAACATCTTAAGTCATCTGCTAGTCAGCTAGTTCGTTACCTTTGTAGAAGAAGATATGTGATACTTGAAAGCCCTTCACTTGGCGGGACAATAATAATTTATTCCTATTTGCTAAATCTCTATTTGTATTCTTCTTGAGATCTTTTTTAATCCGAAGTTTCAGCATATTAGAGTCTCCCAAATTTTAGGACATTCAAAACTGCAATTACCAACTTCATACCCTCCCATGATGCATGATTGTTAACCGAAGGAACCAAATTCATCTAGATTAGTTTAGCAATAGAATGAAGATGACATATCAGTTCCATAAAATAATACATATCCCTTTTTTGTGTTCCTTTGTGAATGATCTGTGAAAGTTATCTTAATTCATCCAGCATGAGGGGGTTTCCAAAAACCAAAATGAGAAAAGATCCCAATCATATCACTAAAATGTCCAGAGTGCTGAATCAACTATAGAATATCCTTGAGAAGCAGGCAAAAGGTAATATATTCCCATACTTGGTGAGCTGCAATAAATGCAATGCCCTGGGTGTACTAGGCAAACATTGAATACTTTCTTTACTTTCAACTCCATGTTATGATTTTTTTTTTTAAATCTTAAAACTCCATTTTATGGAGGATTCAGCTTCCTCTGATCATTTACTTTGTTTCTTTGTATTTCATAATTTGATTGGTTAAAACTGAACTTGTATATATTTCTACTACTGTAGTTAGTATCTTTTAATAAAATGACTTTGCAACCTTTCTCAAAAAAGAAAGAGAGAAAGAAATGTTATATTTGTTTTGACATTTATAAACATCCATCCCTAGTTTGAGGAACAGTGATGCCCTCACCTCTGCCAAGCACCTTATCAGAGAATTGCCGCAGCTATGGTTTGCCACCTCTGACATGGATACTGTTATGTGCTTTGCGAGTAGCTAGTTTGGGGCTTTTTCAGAGGAGCCCTGCAAGCACTAATTTTGGCACTAGCTGGGCATTGGCCTGCAAGTTCATCCCCAATCGTTGGGTTATCTCAGCTTATGACATACACATCATGAAGCTTGAGATCTAGATTGTTGCCGCTGTCTCCGGCACTCTTAGCAGTGAGGATTACTTGCAGGGAATGTGATTTTTTGTTTTCAATGCTATGGTGTTTAGCAAAGTTAACATATTGGTAAGGCAGATTTTTCTGTCCTTTTTTTGGCTCAATTTGGGAGAGAAAATACTCTTTTTTTTGTAGAAATCCTTCTTCTGCTTAACTTTTTGTACACGTTTTAAACACCCAAGTCCCCAATAAAACATAAATATATACTTTGTTCTCAATTCCTTTATTTTCCTCATGCCTTCTACTCAGGCTCAAGAGTGATATAGATTGTGGGCTAAAGATTGGGCTTAAACCATACCTAATGTAGTTATTAGCTCTGATTGATTGGTTTATATCAACCATTGTTGTTTACTAAGGGCACAAGTTGTGTTATTCTATAGAGATGAACATTCCTTCTGCTTTTTCCTCATTGATATATGGTAATTAGGATGATTGCCCCTAATATCTTCTGATAAATCATATCCATAGCTCAACCTCATACTAAGTATAATTTTATTTGCAAGTTATCCATTTATGTTTTTTTTATTAGTATGGTGGGACACATGGTTGCACCAAACTCATTTCTAAGTTTCTTTTTATTTCTTCTTTATATCTTTTTTTATAATTTGTTATTCTAGTGTTGCATTCACTAATTATAGATGTTTGTACCACGGTTCAATCATACTTTGACGTGATGAACCTGGCATAAAATTATATCATGAATAAATAATCTTTAGATAATAATATCTTAGTTAAAGATGAAGTTATTAAGAAAGTTGGAAATGTTGCTTTGAGAAAGTATCAAATGAAAGTTTTTAAGAAGAAATTATTTTGGAAGAGCATAATGAACAAAATGATGAGATATATTTGGTTCAGTATAGTTCTTGGGTACATAATATTTATGTTGTTTTGTATTTTTGTTTTGCATGGTTGTATTTTTGGTTTTATTGCTATGGTAGGGTGAAAGAAATGGTGTAATATCATATATCCATCCATGCAAAATTGGCCATGTAAGTTGGACAAGTTTAGTCCCACCCAAGCCATTAAGTCAAAGTTAAAACTTTCAACTCATCATTGGCATATTAACATGGCAATTCAATGGCTAACCCTCCTTCAAGAAACTTTTATTTTGGGGTTTGGATGCATGAATGAAGAAATTTCCTTAATGGTTAGGTTACATCTATTGAAAGTTAAGTAATTGATAATAATATGGGTGGTTTGAAAATGTGCAAAGAAGGGTAGAAAATGCACCTATTAAAGATATGCAGATGAAATTTAAGTTGAGATATTTGTAAAAAAAATGTTTTTAATCTAAAGTACAGTGGATAGAGATTGTTCAGAATGATTTGAGAATAATAACTTAAATGCCTCAAACAATACCTCAGCAGGTATGAGTAGAAAATGAGGGTTCATAGAGCCAATCTCAAATATTTGGGATATGGGAAATGATGATAATGGTATACAATCATCAAGCAGATATGTAGTCATCCTGCCTTGTTTGTTGTGCATTCCTTCATTAGCTAAGTTGGCTGCCATTTGGATTTTGCCTGTTAACTATGGTCATTGTTTTTAATCTTTGATTTATCTTCTGTCTCTGCTTCGTTTGCTCCTAGCCTTTTTTTCTGATTTTTGTCATTTTCAGCTTTGGGACATAAACATGGATTCTGGTCCGGTTGCAACTTTCCAAGTGCACGAGTATTTAAGGCCTAGAGTAATTTTCCGTTGCCTTTGATACTATTTGATCAGTATTTGTTGCAATATGGGATTATTTTCTGTATCTTTTTTTATTGTATTAGCCACTATTTTGTGCAGCTTTGTGATTTATATGAAAACGATTCAATCTTTGACAAATTTGAATGCTGTCTGAGTGGTGATGGACTTCGTGTAGCTACTGGGTCATACAGGTATTATTGATCATTTTTTTCTAATATTGGCCTTATTGTGTGTTTTTCTGTGATGATGATTAGACATGTTTCATGTTAAAACAGCAATCTTTTCCGTGTTTTTGGTTGTGCATCTGGAAGCAGTGAGGCAACAACTCTTGAAGCTAGCAAGAACCCTATGAGGTACGTCTATATTGAAGAAGATCCACTAGTGTGGAGCAATGTTATTTTGTGAATTTTAAAAATGTGTGTTTATAACAATTCACATGTACTCTGCGGCATCGCCCATGATCTGAAAGTACCTCGTTCTTTAAGATTTATATTCCTTTGGTGAAGAATAATAGCGTTTTGTAAATCACTGATAAGATGTTGAGATTTAAAATTTTGTTGTGGTTATTGCAGCTGCATTGGAGATTTTTCTTGTTCGTTGAGAAAAAAATGGATATTGGAATCTCGTTTGCAGCAGAGAAGATTTGAGAGAGTTGCCTTAGATGGTTTGATCACATAAAACGGCGGCTTTCCGATGATCCGGTTAGGAGAATAGATGTATTAGATTTGGCTTATATTAGGAAAGGTAGTGGTAGTTCTAAAAAGACTTAGAAAATATTAAAAATGATTTTTTTATTAATTTTAAATGAGAATTTGACTCTTAACAGGACACAATGAAGAAAAATAATTCATATAGCTGACATCACGTAGTGGGATAAAAGCTTGGTGTTGTTGTTGTTGAGAAAAAAAGGATATTGGAATCTCTTTTGCAGTAGAGAATATCTGCATAACATGAGCATGCTATATATAAAGTGAAAATTTCTTTATAATGGCGGTTTAGGTGAAAGTTTCTTCTCGGGTGTTTAATATGCAATGACGAGCACAAGTTGGTGGTCTGCTCGGTTTCTGTAGTTTCTATGAGCTGCAAATCTCAGCCTGTTATATATATATATAATAGTCTAAAAAAATTAATTATTTAATTGTTAAGGTACATTTTAGTTCTTTTTCAAAATTAAAAATCTTTTGTTAGTCATTGACTCTTCCACTGTTCCATCTTCTTGCCATTCCCATCAATTGTTATTTCAATTAGTCCATGACACATTTGATTCACTGTCCTGCATATTTTACACTGAATATTTAGATTTTATACATTCTTTCATAGCTTTTTTCTAAAATTCTAACCATTGTGACTTCATTGGTTTTTTTTGGCTTTAATAGCTACAATAGGGTTTTTTCCAGGACCACATTCCGCATAGTTTCTAGGGACAAGTTATAACACTAAGCTTAAAATTATGTGATAAACCTAGAAATTCCTTGGTGACTTTCTTGTACATAACTGTTAGGAAACACTCTTAGAAAATAAGAGTTTCCCCGGATGAAATTAAATTTCAGAACAGATTTGAGAAGAATCTTGAAAGCATAACCAGAAATAAATTGTTTTAAGTGATAATAGTCGAAGGAAAACACAAAATACAATGGATCTTCTATTGGAGAGGAATCCGGCTCTCCCAAATCTCTAGACGCCGCTAGAGCCCAAACACTGAAAAATTTCAGCCAAAAAACAAGATCTCTTTAACCCTAGCCTCAAATTCCTACATAATCATACAATTAACTGAGTAAAATACCAAACAACCCTTCTAATTTGAATTTCTCTCCTAACCACTCTTTAATTCCTCCTTAAATTAGCTGTTAGGCCCCACCCCCAAAGGGGTGGCATTATTGGGGGAGGAACCTTTGTTCCGCCTCTGGTAGACTATTGTCGGTTCAGGCTGGACCGGTTCAAGGGATAGTCTATCAATACTCCACTCCCAAAAATCCACCTTGTTCTCAAGGTGGAAAGATAAAAACTGATGTTTTACTCTCTCATATGGCTCCCAGATGGCGTCATAGTCAGGTAGGTTCTTCCATTTTATCAGCATTTCCTTGAATCCACCATTTCCATGTCGTACCCCTTTCAGCTCTAGTGGTTCCAACATTATCTCCAGATTTGTTGTCAGTGTCCTCGATATTCTGAACTAGCCGCATGATTCCTAATAGCTTTCCTCAACTGTGATACGTGGAACTTTGAGTGTATAGTAGCGGTCGTGGAACACTGGGTGTATAGTAGCGGTCGAGGGTAACTTCAATCGATAAGCCATTTCTCCTATCCCCTCTACTATCTCATAAGGGTCAAAGTACCTTGGGGCCAACTTTTTATTCTTCATGTGAGCTACTATCCTTTGTCTATAAGGGCGTGGCTTTAAGTATACCATGTGTCCTTTCTCAAACTGGTTGTCTTTCCTATGCTCTTCCACTTGCTTCTACATAATCTGCTGAGCCCTCAACAAGTACCTTTTAAATTCCTCCAACACCCTATCCCTTTTCTCAAAATACAACTCCACTTAGAAAACTAACGTGATCTTCTGCCCAAAGTGTACCAAGTGAGGTGGTTATTTTTCGTACAACACTTTAAAATGGGTCATTTGGAAGTTGAATGATAAGAGGTGTTGTAGCAGTATTCTGCTTATGCCAACCACTTGACGCACAACCTAGGTGTTTCATAAGCTAAACATTGTAGGTACGTCTTCAAGCTCCTGTTCACCACTTTTGTTTGCCCATCTGTCTGAGGGTGGTAGGTGATACTCCTCTTCAGCATTGTTCCATGCAATCTGAACAACTCCCTCCAAAAATGACCGAGGCACACCTTATCTATATCGGATACTATAGACTCTGGCATTCCATTCAATCTGACCACTTCTCTGATGAATGTCGTCGCTAATGTCACTGACATGTAAGGTTGTCGTAGGGGAATAAAATGAGCATACTTGCTCAATCTATCAACCACCAACAAAATTACTATAAACCTCTCAGATCAGGATAGCCCATCTATAAAGTTCATGATGACCTCCTCCCACACCTTGTCTGGGTAGTGGTTGAAGTAATGCCACATCCCTAGAGCCACGTCCATGTACTTGTTTCGTTAGCATACCTCACATCTAGCCACCATATCTTCCACATCCTTGTGCATCCCCTTTTAATACAGCTCAGGTGTCAATCTCCTTTATGTATTCTACACACTAGAATGACCCCCCACTGTGCTTCCATGGAACTTCTGTATCAGCTGTGGGATATGGACGGAGGTTCGAGGCATCACAAACTTCCCTCGATACTGCAGTCTCTTCCCCTCTAGAGAATATCCAGGGTGACTATTCCCATCCCTAAGTAGATATGTTCTAATCCGTCCAAACTCCTCATCCTGCACACTCTCATCTTTAATAGCCTCTCAATCCAGCATTAGTGGTATTGACATAGCTAATTCCTAGAGCTCTCCCATGCATCTGGACATGGTATCAACATCTTTATTCTCCAATCTGGGCCTATAATGGATCTCAAAGTCATAGCATAACAGCTTTGACAACCACCTATGATGCTCATCGGTCACCATCCTTTGCTCCAATAGATACTTCAAGCTTTGATCCGTTCTATCAATAAAATGTTGGCCCAACAAGTTAGGTCACCATCTCTGAATAGCTATCACGATAGTCATCATCTCCCTCTCATAGACTGACTTTAGCATATCTCTAGATGTCAACACCTGGGTGAAGTAAGCGATGGGCATATGGTTCTGCATGAGTAGTGTCCCTAATCCATACCTTATGCATCATTCTCTACGACAAAAAACCTGACTGAAATCTAGTAGGGCCATGACTAGTACTCTGGTCATAGCTTTCTTCAATCGCTCAGAGGCCTGGGTAGCTGCCGCTCCCCACTATAAGCTATCATTCCTTAGCTGCTCTATCATTGGCCAGGCTATGGTATTGTATCCCCTCACGAATCTCCTGTAGTAACCAGTCAACCCTAGGAAACCTCTCAACTCTCTCAGATTTCTAGGTAGAGGCTAAGGCCTGATCTACATTGCCTCAATCTTGGTCTTATATGCAGCCACCCCCCTTGGGGTACTATGTGCCCCAAGTATTACACACTGGCCTATGCAAAGCAATACTTCTTCAAATTGGCCCTCAGCTAATGTTTCTGTAACCACCCTCAAGTGCTCCAGGTGCTCCTCCATTATGTGATACACCAGTATGTCATAAAAAAAACCAAGACGAACTTCCGGAGGTATGGTTGGTACACCCAGTTCATGAGAGAATGGAAAAGTAGCAGGGGTGGTTGTGAGGACAAATGACATCACTAAGAACTCGTAGTGCCCCTTATGTGTTCTGAACGCAGCCTTCATGACATCATCTTTTTTGATCTGGATCTGATGGTACCCCGATTTCAAATCCATCTTTGAGAACACCACTGCTCCACACATCTCATCCAATAGCTCATCTATCATCGGAGTGGGAAATCTGTCTGGCATAGTCTCCTTATTCAGGGTCCGATAGTCCACGTAGAATCTCCAGCTCCCATCATTCTTCTTGACCAGTAGGACTAAGCTTGAAAAAGGACTCATAAGCGGTCGGATGATCCCGACCTCCAACTTCTCACATATCAGCTTTTCAATATCATTCTTCTGAATCTGATGGTAGCGGTATGGCCTGGCATTGATTGGTGACACTCCCTCTCTCAAGATAATGGCATGCTCCTGCTCCCTTAGTAGGGGAAATCCTTGAGGTGGCTGAAACATCTCACTAAACTGTTGTATAAGTGGCTGCACTAAAAGAGGAATGTCTTCCTCTTCCTTCAATCTACCCCCCTCTAAGCTCTGCAACTCCACCAGAAATCCACCTCACACCTCTTGTAAGGTCCTCACCATTGTTTTGAGTGACACCATGGCTTTAGATAACCCTGCATCACCCCTAATCATCATTCACCTTCCCCCCACTGCCAGCTCCATTATCAATGCTCCCCAATTCATCTTAGTATCCCCCAAGATTTGTAGCCACTTCATTTCCAGGATAACATCAGTGTTCCCAACTCTAAGGGAAGAAAGTCCTCCCTCACCTGGACCCTTTGTATTGTCAAAACCACACTTCTACATACTCCTCTCTACCCGTCTCCACCTTCCTAGTGCTCATGATTGCCCCATAACTCCCTGTGTCCACTAACTTTACCCACAATTGGTCAATGACTTGGTTGGAGATGAAATTTTTGGGTAGCCCCATTTTCTATCAATACCACCACCTCCCTATTTGTTATTTCTCCTGTTACTTTCATGGTGTGATTTGGAGTGAATCTCACCACTAAATTTAAGGAGACCCTGTCATGTCAAG